CCCCAAAACCCCAAAACCCCAAAACCCCTATATTCAAGCATCATGTTGAGATCAATAATTATTATTAATGAAAGCAAAAGAGGTTAAAATAAGTTCGCAGGTAGGCCTAGTTTAGAGATTTTTGAAGAAAATAAGGAACCGCGTTACCAATTTTTGTAGAGGAGCAATCACTTCGTAGCCAATATAGTCAGACCTACTACACCAATAGGGTTGCGAAATGATAAAAATCAGTTGTTTCATCAAGAAAAAGACAAGAGGAAAGCCAGAAACTTTAAGAGGCCTAGGCTAGGCTCCGACACTACTCATCATGATTCCTATCGAGACTATAATGCCAAAATCAGAGACGTCTTCTGCTCAATTAGAAAGATACTTGAGGAGAAGAGGTCCAAGAATAGTAAGAAAGCTCAAAACAGGGAAATTTTGGAAATTCCTGAAAACTCAAACAGAAGACTTGATGAAAACCCTCTACCCAAACTATTAGAAGCGCTGGAGAAGCAAAGAGCTCGAGAAGTTAAGCCAACAAGGAAAGTGGAATTTAAGCCGAATGTTGACATCTTTGGGAATTGCTCTAAAAGTTCAGTGTCCCAAGGAAGCGATGAAACAAGTGAAAGGAGAACTCTTGTTCACGACAAAAGATCTCTTGGAAAACCCTCAGATTCCTTGAAGGTAAATTTTGATGAAAATTCTTCCCAACCTTCAAGCGAAGAAATTTTGTTTCATGGAACTGAAAAGACTCTAAGAGATATGTATGAGAGATACAGTGGCAAGAGGGACAGCCTTAACACTTGTCAGAGAATGAATGACATTATCCTTAATCATAAGCGTCGTCTAGCCCATCTCTATAATTGCCCTGATAAAGAAATCATAGAATATGAAGACCAGACAAGGAAAGAAGAAATTGACTTCCTCCATCCTGAGCACAAGAGAATCTCTCTTTTTCATCTCGAGAACTTTTCTCCTAACAAAAAGTATAAGATCAGTAGACAGCTTAAGAACAGACTAATTCACAAGAGGGAGAAGATCTTTGAGCTTGGAGGTAAAAATGCCAAAAAGTCAAAACCTAACCAAAAGCATGGTAGCAGAAACAAGAAGACTCTTCATGCTGGTGATCCTAAAATGTATCATAACGTCCAAGGGGATGTACCTGAATTCTATACCGATTTCGAGAAACAGATGGATAAAAAGGAAGCTGAAGCTCAAGGAAACCCTTTAACTCCCTCCTGCACTCCAACAATACCAGTAAAGAGAAAGCCAGCTACTCTTTCCTGTGCTTATCATAACAAAAACGTTGAAGACTGCACCAAAATGGCCAAGCACGGTTTGATCAACGTAGCTTGGACAGATAATTTCAAAGTGCACAATTTCAAAAATTTCCAAAGGAAAGTCTAACCTTTGATGAACCCAATGTTAACCCAATCTCATCATTTTTCTGACATATAATTGATATTTAAATTTCACCAAGATTATCAAAAATGGGGTTTTGGGGTTTTGGGGTTTTGGGGTTTTGGGGTTTTGGGG